AAAAAAAAAAAAAAAAATTCTTAACGTTTGAAGCAAATTTCAATACAAATTGAAGGTACTTTCTATACGAAGTATTTTACGAATCCCATTTTTTTGGTGATTTTTTCAAATATTGATTGTTTCTCAAAACTAACATCAGATTCGGTTTTCGTAGCAAAAAACCCCTTTACACATATCAAACTTTGATTTACGTCTCTGGGAAAAGATTTATCTAGTTAAAAAAATTTCGCATACCATACCCCCATATATGGGTACATCATGGATACACCGATGAACGAATATCGCTCAAAAACAATACCAGCCTACTCCTTTCAATCCCAATCACCCTGTAAAGTCAGATGTGAATTTGCTGTTCTCTAAGAAGAATTATCGTGCTAACAAAATGGTTAAAAAAAATTGCGTAAAGTACACTTTCGGGAGGTTGCTGTTGGAATGATTAGTTTTTCATGATCGTTTATTTCGGCTTTAGTTTTCAATATTCGAGTCCAATTCAACAGCACCAAAATCGAACGATTTTCGACGCTGGATGACCAATGTTAAAAGCAATGGTTGACAAATGATGGACCGTGTTAAACTGTGGTGAATCCTCCGTAAACCATGCTAAATCATGTTTTGACACGTTTTACCGTGATGGTCGACCTCAAAATCCATGGTAAATCATATTTTAACAGTTTTTACCATGATGGCCAACCCCGTAAACCACGATAAATCATGTTTTGACAGTTTTTACCATTTTAAATGGTTTTAGACTACGATGTACCATCATGTCCGACCTCAAAAACCGTGTTATATGGTGTTATACCACGATGGACCGTGATGTCCAACTTTAATAACCATGTTAAATGATGTTAAAATCGCTTAAATCGTCAAAATTTTACATTTCAAACCATTTACCACGGTCCATCATGGTCGGCCATCATGGTTACCACGGTTTACCACGGTCCATTCTCACCTTTTGACAATAAAATGTGCAAAATTTAGGCAAAATACTGTAAAAATACGGTTTTTTGACCATAATGGCCGTGTTAGACCACGATGGCCGACCATGATGGTGCCTATGTTCACCGCCCGGCCGAGACCTTTCCCACGGTATAACTTTTATCCGGATCGGTTGAGGCGTTTGGACGCCAACCCGGAACAAACAAACAGACATACTTTCGCTTTTATAGATATAGATTTTATGCACTCAATTTATTTTATCATATATGATATCTCAGTGTGCCTTTGTGCACATGTCTTATGTTGTCTGTCAAGCTATATTGCGCATGATACACAACAGTGTCGAGTGTAGTGTACACTATACGATATACATGATGTGCACTATAGTCAACACCGTTGCGTGTGTATCTTGTCGACAGTCAGTATAGCATAATGAAATATCATATATGATAAAATAAATTGAGTGCTTATATATTTTATAAAATTATAATTATAACTAATTTCTTCTTGAAAACTTCTGTGCATTTTGAAAATAAACCAATACAACATTTTTTGACTTTTCGAAACAACAAATATCACATTTGATATTTTCTATAGTACTTTAAAACCATTATAATCAGAGAAGCACTAGAAGACACTCCATTTAAATTTATTTAAATTAAAATTATTAAATTAAATATTTTGAAAATATTTCAATATTTTTCATTTTTCTTCTGATACGTATGAAATGTAAGTGTGTTTGTCGATTTATAAGCGCCATCTATTGCGAATTTGTACCATTTTTAGTTAAGAGGGACTGGCTCTGATGTCAAATTTTAAATCGTACGTTTCACGTCGCTCCCCTGACACCGATCGACGACCATATAAAACAAAATTCTTTATACCAATATGTATTGGTTTTTTTTTCGGTGCGAGGAATCCGAATCTGGTATTAGTTTTGCGATCCGACTAATTTTTAATACATTTTTCATCTGAAAAAATCATCAAAATTGTTGATTTTGTATAGGTGCTATATCTGTATGACATCTCAATGACGTGAAACTTTTTACAGCCTATGTTGAATCTGGTAGAATTTACACACTGTGTCTAAAATATAAAATTAACTATATAAAATTTTATTGAATTCAACCAAAATGATGTTTCTTTACTTGTTTAGCTCCATGGGGGCGACTTGAAAAAACTTGACATCAGCGCCAGGCCCTCATAACTAAAAATGGTACAAATTCGCAATAGATGGCGCTTATAAATCGACAAACACGCTTACATTTTATCAGAAGAAAAATGAAAAATATTGAAATATTTTCAAAATATTTAATTTAATGATTTTAATTTAAATAAATTTAAATGGAGTGACTTCTAGTACTTCTCTGATTATAATGGTTTTAAAGTACTATAGAAAATATCAAGCCAGCAATGAGCCGATGAATGAAACAACCACGTCGAAAATTTTCATATTTCCGCTAGTAGTCATCAAAACATTTCATACAGCCACAATCACCCATCTCAAAAAAAATTCTGTTGACATTTTTCCGATTGGGATTAGGAGAAGTAATATCAAAACTCAACGCCAGATTTTTTTCAGGTTGGATTTGGATGCTTGTAAAACAAAAGTTCGCAAAGCAAGAAGCATGCTTGGACAACAAACGGTAATTATAACCAAATCCATTTTATAAAATAATAATGTTCCCGTATTGATTCTTCGATGCTGAAAAAAAGACAATGACTTTTTTTATTTGATAAATCAAACACTATCAGAAAGATGGAATTTTACCGGAAGTGGCCCTCGAACAGGTACACCACAGTTAAAAAAGTTTCAAATTCGTCCTTCGTTTTTAATTTGTTTTATTTTTTTAATTTTCTAAATAAGTTTTATAAGTTTTAATGAATGAATTATTTTGAATTTTTAGGCCGAACGAGATTTGCGTGTAGCTCAATCAGAGTTTGATCGCCAGGCTGAAATAACGAAACTTCTGCTTGAAGGAATTAGTACATCTCAGACGAGTCATTTGCGCTATTTGCATGAATTCGTTGGCTCCCAAGTTCGTTACTACGCAAAATGTGCTAGCGCAATGAATGACTTACAACATGAATTGGCCAATTGGTTTGTTAAATAATGTTTTCGAATTTTTAAGCTATTCAAGTATTGCAATTAATAATTAATCTAATTATTAATTAGAAGCCAAAGGCCCATTTACAAAAAGAAAACTTTATATAGAGCCAAAATCGAGATTGAACTAACTTGTATTTAGGCCGGATACAGTAAAAAGTCGGAACATTTTCTTTTTGGATTACATGGATTTTGACTAGGGGTTGGACACTCGGATTAGGAATCGTCGTTTGCTTTGGATTTGTAAATAATAGTCGTATTCGTCGGAATATTGGAATTTGGTTTTTAGCGTGATACACTTCGTGGAATTTGGTTTTTAGCGTGTTTTCTTACTAAAATTGATTTAACAATTTAATGAAACAATTTTTATTTATTGAAAACATTGGAAATCAAATATTTTTTTTTATAATTGGTATCAAATTTATGGACTAAAATTATAATTTTAATTTATTAATTGCTGTACGACTTATGAATATAAATAAGTTCATTTATAAAACCGTCAATGCAGATATAAGTTCGATGGTCGTATTTTGAGAGTTATACAAAACATGTAGTTATTAAAAATTAAAATGTTAAATGTGTGTTAGTTTTTATTAAATTGTATTAGTTTTCAATTTAAATTTCTCAAAATTACAAAAAATATTGAATTTCAATGTTTAAGATTGAAATTAAATGATATCCTTGTGCATATACTGTACAAACAGAATATAAACTAGATCATTGAATTTTTGGGAATCGTCGGAATAGCGAGAATCGAGGATTTGATGTATATTCTTCATTTTCAAACGGTGTCTAACCCCTAGGATTTTGAGTATTTGTGACAATTCGTTTTCTCTTTTGAAAAATTTCAGTAGTCTCGGAGCATATATACCAATTGAGATGCATGATGAAACAACGAAGAAAGAAAACGATATTCCCATGCATCGCCGAGCTAGAGTTCTGTGCTCATACGACGCTAAAGATAGCACAGAATTGAGCCTCACTGCAAATGAAGTAATTACAGGGAGTCCACGAAGTGCTTGTAAAAAGATCCCACAGATTCCTTTCGCCCCTGTGACGCTTCACTATGGAGTTATCGCCCACATAACCTCACAAGCTTCGTCAAAAATCTCAGTACTCGGATAAGTGACACGCCAACGGACTATGTACCTGGAATTTTCGTCAGAAATGTATGGGTTGGGGCTCCTTATAAAAAATAAGTAGGAAAAATTCGACGAAGGCGACTTACGCATGTTAGACCAATACACCGGTGTAAATAATACTATTTTAACTCATTTTGAGGGGTAGACGTTCTACTAACTTCAAACATCAGAATAACCTTACTCAAATATTTCTCACTGTGCAAAAAGTGACCTCCACAAGAAAAACAAGAAAGGGCATCAATTGTGATCAGAACTTCTATAATTACAGTAGATAAAATTGACTCTTGCGGGGATTGCCTACGGAAGTTTGCCCAATTTTTTTCTTCTTTTTTTTTGTCAACATCTGTGGGATTTTTTAAGAGATAATCGTCGTGTTACTCACCTTCAACCATTGAATATCTCGTGTCCGAATTTTGTAAGATCAATTTTAAAAACAAAAAACCAACGTATTAAACGTATTAAAATCAATTCAAAAAGATTTTGTGATATGGACATTAAGATTTATATATCAAAGAGATGAGAATTATGTATTGCCACCGTATCAGTTTAGATGTGATGTTTTAAATATTCAACCGCTTTGGAGACGGCGTATAAATGCCTCTATATTTTTAATTTATGATCTGTTATTAGGTAAAATATTGTCAAATTCGCTTAGAGATAAGATTGTATACACAAGACAGCAATATAACGTAAACCAAAGAAATTTGAGAAATACAGAACTTATTAGAGTACGAATGTTTACATCGGACTATGCACATAATCAGCCATTTTACGTAGCATGTAGGAATTTCAATTTAATACGAGAACAATTTTTTGAATCGGCATCAAGAGAAATTTTTAGGAATAATATTATTCAATTAGACAATTTGATATTTAATAATCGGTGAACAGATAATTTTAAAGAATGTATGGAGACGAAAGAGATTACACAATGAACACAATCGATATCTGCTGCTCCGAAGTCGAAAAGACTGGTAGCTGGATATTCGATCGGGTAGTGTTTCATTGTTTCATTGTAAACGATATTGCACAAATTTTGTGATAAATTCAGTCTGTGATCAGACGGTGAAATAAATAAATAAAATAAAATAAATGGTCAACATGCATTTGAACGGATCAACATACACAAGGATCTGGGAGTTGTATTTGACACGAAGCTGACATTTGACAATCACATCGACGCGATTACAGCCAGTGCACATGGGGCAATGGGTTTTATTAAACGCACATTAAAGAATAAGTTCACGATTGAATCTGCAAAAATGTTATACTGTGCACTAGTAAGATCAAAGCTAGAGTACGCGAGTATTGTATGGCAACATACCACCGTATCCATTCCAATAAAATAGAGTCAATTCAAAAAGATTTTGTGATATGGACATTGAGATTTGTTTACCAGAGAGATGAAAATTTTGCGTTGCCACCGTATCAGTTTAGATGTAATGTGTTAAATATTCAACCGCTTTGGAGACGGCGTATAAATGCCTCTGTATTTTTAATTTATGATCTCCTTTTGGGTAAAATAGTGTCTAGTTCACTTAGAAATAAAATTGGATATACAAGACTGCAATATGACGAAAACCAAAGAAATTTGAGAAATTCAGAACTGATTGGAGTTAGGGCATTTTCGTCGGATTATGCACATAATCAGCCGTTTTACGTAGCTTGTAGAAACTTAAACTTGAAAAGAGAAACATTTTTAGAATCGGCATCAAGACACATTTTTAGAAACAATATTGTCAAATTGGAAAATGTGATATTTGACCATTGAAAAATTTAACTTCCAACATAATGTATTATATAGAAATAAAAACAGTGAACACAATCGATATCTGCTACTCCGAAGTCGAAAAGGCTGGTAGCTGGATATTCGATCGGGTGGTGTTTCATTGTCAAGGATTATTGTATAAATTGTGTGATAAATTCAGTCTGTGATCAGACGGTGAATAAATAAATAATAATAATAATAAACGTGGTATACATTTTGAACTGTAAACACCACATGCCATGCTATTCCGTGTATCAGGCAATGACCTGAAATGAAAGAAAAAATTACGCAAACGCATTATTAGAACATTACATTTTCATTTCCACTTCCAATTCAATACATAATTTACATTTGTACATGATCAGCTTTGCAGCTGAAATGTCTCGATGCCAGACAG